TATACTATCTATCTATCTATCTATCTATCTATCTATCTATCTATCTATCTATCTATCTATCTATCTATCTATCTATCCACACACGCACACACACACACACACACACACACCACTCATAGTTACCTTATGGCAGGGGTGTCAAACTCGATTTTATTGAGGGCTGCATCAGGGTTGTGTTTGGCTTTGGGGGCAGGGTGGGCGTGGCTAGGATGGGTGTTACCAGCTTTATGTCACTCATGTTGGGGGTGTCTGTGGTGGCCCAAGTCAGATCTGGGGCCAGATCTGGGGCCTGGGCCATGAATTTGTCACCCCTGCCTTATGATAAGACAAGCAGCCAATAAATTTCATAAACAAACAAACACATTTAAATTGGAACACTAAAATGACAGACTTCCTGAGATTAGATTAGCCCTGACTTTACCAAACCTTCGTAAAGGTTGCCTCATCAAGGAGCCCTAATTCTCCAGAGCAACCAGAAGATTACTTGGCAGCTAATGTGTTATTGTTACCCTTTGTAAGGTTTCTTGCTGGCAGACATTATAGGTTTTTATTATGCTTTTGCAGTTATAGGATGGTGGTGAGGGTGGCAATATTGTTAATTATGTTGTTAGCCACCTAGAGTCACATTTGCAAGATAGCTGACATATAAAATGAACAAGCAAACAAATATTGGAACAAGAACAGATGACTCTCCATTTCTGTGCTTAATTAATAACAAAACCATTAGCTATCTGTTAATGTCTAAACACTAACTCCTTTTATCCTGCAAAACATGCATTATTCCCCTGAAGTTGCATCTTTAAGAATTCTTCATCCAGTTCTAGCAACCAGCAATACTCCATAGTAGATATTTGCATGCACACAACATACATATGCATGGCTGCAGTCTACTTCTTTCTCTTTATTTGTAACACGTGCTTTGAGCCTTGGCTGTCACTTTCATGCCAATTTTTCAATAAAACTATAGGGGGGAAAAAGATGAACCTTTGTTGTAGACATTGGTTGGAAGCTGTATATTACTGGATGTTGTGTTCACTGGCAAATTATTGAAATGCTCGTTTGGTTCCAGAATGAATTCCTTCCCAAGTGACACATAATCACCATTTTCATCCTTTTCATTAATCAACACAGCATTGTAATAATCAAACTGGAAGTGAAAAAAAAATACAAAAAATGAATGGATACATAATTTTCAACAGATAAAATTCATGCTGAACCTTACATTTTGATTCGAAACGGATTCTTGGATTCTATTAAAACCAGGAGTCCTTGGTGAAAATAATTTCATCTCCAAATACAAGTGGTTTTTATGGAGAAAGATCCCTAACAGATCAGGCCACAAAGAGTTGTGAAAAATTCAGGAAAAGAATCTTCAATAACAAGAATAAAAGGCAAGTATGATATTTTGGAGGGTGCCCAAATTTAGTTAGATTATTCAGATTATTTTCTTGGACAAAGAAAATAATGCAATATTAACCATTCTAATATACATAAAGGTTTTCCTGACCTCTTCTTTGGGAAACAGTGGAAAACATGCAGGAGGTTATAACAATAGCGCTTAGATTCATAGAGCTCTCTCTAAGCAATTTACAGGGTCAGCCTATTGCCCCCAATAATTTGGGTCCTTATTTTACCCACCTCGGAAGGATGGAAGGCTGAGTCAACCTTGAGCCTGGTAACTGCCAAATTGCAGGCAGCAGGCAGTCAGCAGAAGTACTCTGCACTCTAACCACTGGGCCACCATGGCTCATAATTATGAATCTTTTCCACTGAAACCAATACAAGACAGAACTACTATGATTGCCACCATGGTTATTTTCAACCAATCCTTCCTCCAATTCACATATACATGGTTCTCTCCAGATTGCCCACACTATAGTCTTGCAACTACATTAAACCAGGGGTCAGTAGATCATGATTGAAGAACCCATGTTTCTCCATCCTAAACAGCCAGAGGTAAAGCAGAGATGCTAGGGATGAGCCGGGATGAAGACATAGAAAGAAACCCCTCTTTGGTATTTCCCCCATTGCTTTATGAGAAGTCGACAGGTTGGCAGATGGAAGAGAGAAGTCTTGTCAGCTTAAGCCTGAGAGCTCAGGAGGAAGCACTGTGGCATGCCCTCTCACCAGCAGTAATTACAAAGAGTCAATTGGAGTTGGGCTGCTAATAAATTCAAATAAATAGACAAATACATTAGTGAATTCCAGGAGTAATGGATAAGGACCAATTTTCCCTCTCTCCTATGTTGAGCCTGATTTCTTTAAGTTAAAAAAAAAAAGAATAAGAGGTGCAAAGTGCCCTAACTTAGTTACTGGATTAATCCATTTTTAATGTCCTGCATAGTACATTATGCATGTTTTAATGTACTGCATTGTACGATGTAGCAACATAAGCAATTAGAGGTGCTTCAAAGGCAGTGATGGCAAACCTTTGGCAGAAGGGGGCACTTCATCAAACGGGAACACCAAGGCCCCAAAAGGGAGCACTTCGCGCATGCACATTCGTCTGGGCCACAACCAGGAAAAGGAGCTGCCCAGGGGATATGTGTGCACTGGAAAATGAACTTCCGGTTTCCGGCACACACATGCATGCCAGCCAGAAAGCCTTCCGGTTACTGCCGTATATGCGCACACACGCCGATCATCTAGCCGGTATGCATGCTCATGCTGTAAAATCGAAGACCAGCTCTTCTGGTTTCTGGCACTGCCACACACACAAAAGCCAGATGACCGTCACACAGAAATCTGGAAGATGAATGGGCACGCATGCCATAGGTTAACCATCACAACTCTAAAGTAAGCCAGTTTGCTTCCATGTCCAATTCAAGGGGTTGGTTATTGCCTTTAAACCCCATCATGGCAAGGGACCAGATTACATGGGGAACCACCTTGTCCTTATTTTAGTCAAGCAGCGAAGTTGTGTACCCATCGGTTAAGGAGGCTTGATTGGTGGAGTCTCAAAAGGGAGACTTTTGTTTTTTAACTTTGTTTTTAAGTATGGATTTTATATGATTTTATCATTTTATCCGTAAGCGGCTCAGAGTCACAGAAGTATGATGGATGGTAAAGAAGTTTGATAAGTAAATAAACCAAATGGGATGCCTTCAAACAACTTATTCAGACATGTAGTATTACAATATTCTACATCCATTCTTGGTCAACACCAATTGGCAGTAGTCAACTAACTTGGGTAAATATGTTGTATGTGAACACAATCAGAGAGAATTCAATGTAGCTATCATTGCAAGAACCACCTGAGATCCAGCTCATTGGGGCAAAAATTACTGGGTAAGCATTACAAATGAACAGAGATTTTAGCCTTGTATGTCTGATACCCTCCATTTTAGCTGAACATTTGGGCTGAATAGTTTTTAGACTTCTGTATCCAGGAATGGCAAATCTAGACAGCTTACTAAAAAGCAGAGATATCACTTTGCCAACAGAAGTGACTATAGTTAAGGCTATGGTTTTCCCAGTTTCAATTATGGCTGTGAAAGTTGGACCATAAGAAAGGCTGAGCGCCAAATAATTGAGGCCTTTGAAATATGGTGCTGGAGAAGACTCCTTTGAGTCCCTTGAACTGCAAGGAAATCAAACCGGTCAGTCCTAGAGGAGCTCAACCCTGAGTGCTCTTTAGAAGGCCAGATCCTGAAGATGAAACTCAAGTACTTTGGCCACCTAATGGGAAGGAAGGATTCACTGGAGAAGAGCCTCATGCTGGGAAAGATTGAGGGCAAAAGAAGAAGGTACATCAGAGAATGAATTGGCTGGATGCAGTCACCGAAGAAGTAGGCATGAGCTTAAATAGACTCCANATGCTGGGAAAGATTGAGGGCAAAAGAAGAAGGTACATCAGAGAATGAATTGGCTGGATGCAGTCACCGAAGAAGTAGGCATGAGCTTAAATAGACTCCAGAGGATGGTAGAGGACTGGAAGGCTTGGAGGAACATTGTCCATGTGTTTGTGATGGGTCGGACATGACTTCACAACTAATAACAACAATCCAGGAATGTATCATATGCTAAAGGGGGTGAGGTGTCCGCTATTTGAACTTTGTGCTCTTTTCTTCTTCACATTCACTAAAAATGTTCCAATTTCCTTCAGTTCAATATACTTTACTTTCAGTAACTAGATTTACATTATGAGTAGAACCTGTAGGTTTGCAAATCCCTGGGGAGATTAAAGTTTGCACAGTCAAGCAAGAGCAGTTTTGCCAAAATTAGCATGACCTATTCATGAATATATTTCCATAACATTGGATCTACATCGAAAAAGTCTATCACATTTATGGTATCCATTTGATGTTTTATGTTCTCTCCACACCATATGGAAACATCATTAGTTTGGCTCCGAGAAGCACCATAATGCTTTCATTCATAGTTAACAGCCTCTGCCACTGTGGAAAGTTTTAATAGCATTGATTTTAATTTTAACACTATTCATAAATGGTACGGCATTGGTTTTCATTGCAGGCTGCAGCTATGGCTTTAGGTAGGCTCATGGCCAAAGACAGATAAGTATACAGGGAAAAGAAAATAGCTTACATATACTTATATTCAGTTCCTCAGAAAATCTAATTTTAGGCAATGACTGGTCTGTTTAAATGTGATGATGGACATTTAACATTGCAGACAAATATGCAATTTTGTTCCCAAAGATAAATCAATATCAGACAAAGAATCAGAAGAATGCAACAGCTGGCCCTACCAAGGATGTAAATTTAACATGGCATAGAGCAGGGGTGTCAAACTGGCAGCTTGGGGGCTGGATGCATCCCGCATAGGCCACGCCCATCCCAGCTCCGCAAAGGCAAAAAACGCCACTATACATCATGTGCCACAATCGGGTTTGACACCTGTGGCGTAGAGCATAGATGCCTTTGAAAAGCCAGTGGCCAAGAATGGTGGACTTGTAGCTCTCCAGATGTTGAGAGACTTCATCCTCTTGTACCACCAGCCTTAGTGGCTGTCGCTAATCAAGCTTATCATCCATTAACATTTAGAGTTCTCCAGCTTCCCCATCTTGCCATAATTTGTGGGATGCTTTGGAGACAGGTTGCCAGTTGTCTACATGAGGCATTAATTGACTTTACAATGGATTATCTGAACTTAAATGATATCGTATATCTTTTACCTGTAATGATGAGTTGTACTCATGATAAACATCTGCGTCTTCTGCAGCTTCAACTAACCGCTATAACAAAGAAAGAAAAAAGGGAGCTGAGAGACCTTAAATGGAAGCAACAGTAAAAGCAGCAGCACATCTACATGCGTACAGGTGTGTTTGCAAAAAAAAAATCAAGACAACAACTATAACTGGGCTGTCCAGGCCACAAAGGATGCTAACATTCCTGCCTTGTGTTGAAAGCATTTGTGCCTATTGAAATTGTAGCTTTAAGACCAAATTGAAAGGCATAGAATATACTACATTACATGATTTGGGGAAACAAGGAATCTATGAACCACTGGAACACAGAAAGCTGCCTTATAGCCAATTAAATGATCACTTCATTTAATGCAATGTTATTTTTTCTGACTTGCACTGACTGGGTGGGTGGGTTGTAATGTGTGTATGAGTGTTTGTGTGTGTATAAACACACACACACACACACACACACACACACACATGTGGAGGGAGGGAGAGAGAGAGGGAGGGAGAGAGAGAGGGAGGGAAAGAGAGAAGTTCTATCACTGAATTATTTCTTACAAAATCAAAAACCACACTTTATATAGAGGTATATTATGCTGTGTTTAGAAATCACTGTGTATTCACTTTTCTTTCTTTTTCTTACTTCCAAGTAGATAAAATCTGGGAGCCAAGTAATCCTTACCTTAACAGCTTCTACTTTTCTATATAGCATCCTTGCCATTTCTTTAGAGAATAACTTTACCAGCTGCAAGCCATCCACCTCTTCGATCTTTAGATTTGGTTCCACATCTTTATACTTCTATCAAACAAACAAATAAACAAACAGAAGGACAAATTCACAGCTGAGATTTTCAGTAACCAGAATCTGGACTCTAGTGAACAATGTGTCAGGGTTCCAAATAGCATCCAAAAGTAAATCAGAGTCCAAGGCAAAGTATTGCTCAAAGTTCCAATTTA